GAATATTTCCATAAGTGCTGAAAAAGCAGTTGATAAAAATTTATCACCTGATTCTGACACTCCTAGTGAGCCAGGAAAAATAGATGGATCAACAAAGCATTTCAGGCCACTGGGCAATGTGTCAAACTGAGGAGCTTCTGGGGTCATCTTATCATATGATAAATCACTAGAGGATAGGAAAAGGTAGAAGTTCTAAGAACACATACGTGTTCTCAATAGATAGCACTGTATCTGTATAGTCTTGGTCTATTGTTGCCGTGGCTTTCATTTGGTTCCTTAGGTCTCTTGTCCTTTGTTGTTTTTGTTGTTGTCTTGCATTAATCTACCATTTTAAAAGAATGGGAGATATTTATTGTTGTAGTTAATGATTCCTTTTGGATAAGGAAGTTTTTATCTTGCCATTAGTTACCTTTTAAATGTCATGAAATTCTTCGTAGGATGTTTCCTGAGGTTGTGAGGGAACATGTGAGTTTCTCCCACTATCAGACTACTTTTAATTATGTGTCGCCTTTATAAATGCAGCCATTATGATTTCTGAAGCTGTTGAAAATCATCTGCTTAATCTTGTCATATTTTGTACATCAGTTTCATTGCATAGCATTTTTGCCTTGCCTATTTAATGTCAATCTCCCGTCCCAGCCCTTATAGATAAATGTCGCAGTCACTGAATTGGGTGTCAGGGGCACGGGGGCCCTTAGCCCTCTTGCAGTCCCCACATCATACATATGCTACTGCTTGGAGAAGTAGAATGAGCTTTCAGTTCTTTTTTTCAATGTCTAATGGCTTTGCGGCAAGCTGCAATCGTTCTTTAGACACCAGTATAATAAAGTTTTCTTTATCAGCCAGTGTTAATATTTGCAAGATGACAAACAGTGCAGTCAAAGGTGCAATCCTGTGACCAGAGGACAGAGCCCGCTGCAAAAGTAGCAGTCCCATCTTGACAACCGATGACTCTTGGTTAAGAAACATCCCATTAATATCTCTGTGTGGAGGTGAGGGACAGAACACAGAAAGACAGAAATCCGGACAGAATTAAGGGTGTCACAAGGGAGGCGGTCACATCATTCAGAGAAAGTATTCTGCTATATTAATGGCTCTTTCCTCACCTGCCGTCCCAATACATACATACCAGCATGGGCCCACTCTAGCAGCTCCTGGAAAGTATGGTCCAGGCGCCCCCCTTCTCCACCTATCTCGGCTCACTGGCAGACCAGTGTGCCTTCTGCTGCTCCTCTGAAATATTGATGAATAATTATTTTGCCCTTTCTATTACACTGTTCTTCCTAATCCCCGCTCCAGAGTGCCAGATGCTAAATCGGTGGTCTGTACCCTGCTGTGTTGATGATCAGATGCGATAGGCAATAGGCCACCCTGGGAAATGGCAGTGGTCCATTCTGCTTAGAGCTGAGACCCAGCTGTTACAGTACCAGGTAGAGTGTAATGTCGGGGCTCAGCATTTCCATTGCCGGTCCCTGAGTAGCCTCTCTTCCCCTATATTTGATCCCATAAAAAAGAGTAGGCATTTAGCGTATCACAGTCTGCCTCCATGGGAGGAGTCTAGGACTGGTTGCTACTGTATTTCCCAGTTTCCCGTGCGTTTAGAGAGTCACTCGACTCTGTGGGGTGGAATGTCTGCATTCTCATAAACCGGTTGCAAGTTCCAGGATTATGTTAAAGGGGGCTGCTGTCAGAAGGAAACCTTGCCTTGTTAGTCTGAGCAAGGAGCCACGTATAAAAATACCCCGACACACAGCCAATCTCATTAAAGTTAGTTGAAATTTTGGACAAGTCTTAAGTATAAATTATAACTTTATTAGCTCATAGAGCTTTCTCCCAAGAAAGGAAATCTAATAAAAATTAGAGAGAACTTATTAAGTAGCTGCCTTGTTGCTATTTGCTATGACTAGGGGGGAAAGTAATATCGTTGCGGGGTTTGCAGCCAATGCACTTTTTTGTTGTGGACTAGAGAGCAATTCGGAGAGCAGATAGGAGGTAAAAAGAGTCTGTCTCATTACCATTGCATTGAGAACTCTTTAATTGATACTTTATGTAAGCATTTCCTGCCACAGAGTTAGGAGGATCTCTAACTGTCACTGAGAGGGAAAAATCCGGCTGCAAACCACCATTGGAGGTCACCAGGGCACGCTACTTATTTGCCAAACTGCATCATCACCTTCTGGAGAAGGGATTCTAGGGGAGCTCACCAACCCTACAGTGTACAAAAGGCAGATCCTGACAATGGTAGGGAAGGAGATGATGGCTTTCAGGGAACTTGTAATTGTCACTGTGATTATTTATTAATTGAGACTTTTAAATGTTGGCAAGAGAAGCAGAACCCGTGTTATTCCGCACACCAACATGGCCCTAAGCGTGCTTTCTCACCACCTGATTTTGCCATCATGAGATACGGGGCTGTCTTTGGTTTTTGGGTGCAATCTCCAACTTGAACAGATCAAACACAATCTTGAAAGAATGCACTTTGGAATCATACAGTGTTAGTGCTCCAGGGACACTATAAGAATTATCTGATGCAAAAGTCTTTGAGGTGAGATCTCTGTTTCAATTTTAGGAGGTCAGTGAAGCCTTAGAATTATATACAAAATTGTGTGTGCACCTGAATATTTCTAGGAAGAAGATTCTTAACTTTTATCAAATTCATAATAAAAGTCCCCCTGACCCAAAAAGTTCTAAAAAATCATCAGTTCTAGTCCATCCTCCTCCACCTGACTTTGACCAGTGAAGAAAATGACTCTCAGAGATGCAGAGTAACTTGCCTGAGACCGAACAGCTAGTTAATGATGGACCCAAAAGTTGAAAGTTTTTCTGACTCTAGTTCCATAACCAACTCTTTCTACTCTACCACAGTTGTTTTAGCAAGCTCTGGGGGCCATGACAGGATATCGAGGAGATTGTAGAGAGCAGTGATTTGTGCCATGACTATAACCTGAACTAGAGTGCCTTTGAGGTCTTTTCATCACTGAAATTCTGTTTCCATCCACCTTCATAGGGAGCAGCATTGACCCAGGATGATCCCAAACTAATTTCCATTTAGAAATTATTTCCGTTTTATGATTAGTCTTTCCCACCCCCCATTGATCTGCCTTGTTAATAATGCTTGGTTAGGGCAAACGATAAAATGAGTTTGCAGTCCGTGAGTCTTCACCAGCTGGTGGATGGGCATCCCTATCAGGACCAGCTACATAATTTACAGGGCCCATTGTTAAATGAAAATACAGAGGCTCGTATTAAAAAATTACTAAGGATTTCTGGGGCGCCTGGGTGGCGCAGTCGGTTAAGCGTCCGACTTCAGCCAGGTCACGATCTCGCGGTCCGTGAGTTCGAGCCCCGCGTCGGGCTCTGGGCTGATGGCTCAGAGCCTGGAGCCTGTTTCCGATTCTGTGTCTCCCTCTCTCTCTGCCCCTCGCCCGTTCATGCTCTGTCTCTCTCTGTCCCAAAAATAAATAAACGTTGAAAAAAAAATTTTTTAATAAAAAAAAAAATTACTAAGGATTTCAAGACAGTGACAGCAGAGCATTAAACAAAGTGTGAGACCCTTCAAAGCATGGGCCCCTGTGTGACTGCATAGGTCACATACCCTCTGAAGATGGTGCTTTAAGATCCCTATTAAGGCAAAAAGGACAAAAAGAAACCAGCCTACGATTTAAAATTGGCCACAGATGATCCACAATGTTACAGAGTTGTATATTCATAATCATAAGGGCTTTTTGGCTTATGTGTTATGCTCACATACACACACACGCGTGCGCACGCACACATGCACGCACACACACACACACACACACACACACATAAATCAGTTTGACCAAAAATTACCATTTTTTCCCTTCACCCAATTCCAAAAACCAAAACCAGTTTGCTTTCGTTTTTCATCTTAGGACCTAGGGTTCTGGCATTGTTTAAGCACATGCTTTCATTACCAGTTTTCATAACTAAATGACAAAAGAAGGAATGAGTTCTCCAGGGGCATCTAAAGAGTCAGGTAGAGACAGAAACTGGAAAGCAATGGTCGACTAGTAGCTAGGGATATTTTAAGCTGCCAGAAAGGGGGAAGCAGCTTCGGGGTATGCAGTGTAATGAGCCAGTACTCTCAGGCTTAGAACATTATAAGAACAGAAAGCATTTTAAATTCAAGAATCAGAAATCTGGGGTTGCAACAGGTAAGCAGGGTTACCAGCTGCGAAAATGGCTGGGATTTGGTATACTTGAGCTAGACATATTGCAGCAGAGCAGAGGCATCCTTGCTACCACATTTCTCACTTCCCATTTTAGTGGCATTCCAGGGTTCCAAGTTTAATGCGCAACATCTGTGCTTCCTAAGAGTTGAAGCCAAATGTTGGGTGATATCCCATTGGTTAGCTCTATGCAGAAACCAAAATATAATGTGCACAAGGTGGAATTTACACTTGCAGCGCTCAAAGCAAACTCAAGACTTCTCGGCAAACTAAAGGCCAGTTAGCACAAAAGAAAATATAAATGGGGCAAATCGATTTTATTAGTCTCATGTGTCGTCAGTTGTTGCAGAAGTGACCCAGTACTCGAAAACCAGCTTCCTAAGTGCATTTTGCACTCTGGAGAGATAAGAAAGCAGCCCTCCCTGCACCCTTCCTGGAAAGGTAAAGAAAGAAATTGTATCAGCAGAGCTTAAGCCTTCAGAGAGCTTATTTCCCCAGTTTTACAACACGGCCTCCAACCCAAAAGCCCAATGCTTAATGTCCATAAACATATGGTACACACCTAATGACAGCACGCATTCACTCACTCATCCATGTATGTATCTGGTAGGCACTGACTGATCGCTCTTGGACGCCCCGTGCCATGCTAGACGTTCTGCTGTACTGTGCTAGCTGAAAGGCATTTGCGCATTTCAGCCCCAGTCAGAATTCAATAGCAAATGCAACATCCACAGAATTATCAACCTGTGTAAAAACAAAGCAAATGTTTTTAAATTTTCTAACGTGTTATTAACTTTTTGTTTGCAGTATCTGTGGGATACGAATACGAAACATGTCCTGACTTTATTCTCTGGGAGAAAAGGACAGTTATCTTACAAGGTTTTGAGATGGATGCTTCTAACCTAGGAGGCTGGTCATTGAATAAGCATCATATTTTGAATCCTCAAAGTGGTAAGCAGTTTTTTATTTTCAAAGGATATACAATTTTAAAATCACAGTCTTATTTTTAATTGTTCCAAATTTGGGGAAGACCTAAATGTCCAATACTAGGAGAATGGTTTGATAGATGTTTCCAGTCATTCAATGGAACTTTTGAAAATTGTGGTACAAGCGGGGCACCTGAGTGGCTCAGTCGGTTAAGTGTCCGACTTCGGCTCAGGTCATGATCTCATGGTCCGTGGGTTCGAGCCCTGCATCGGGCTCTGTGCTAACAGGTCAGAGCCTGGACCCTGCTTCGGATTCTGTGTCTCCCTCTCTCTCTCTGCCCCTCCTCTGCTTGCACTCTGTCTCTCTCTCTCTCTCTCTCAAAAAAAATAAACATTAAAAAAAATTTTTTTAATTGTGGTAAAAGATGCGTAATGAAGTTGACCTTTTGACCATCTGTAAGTGTGCAATTCAGTGGCAGTAAGTACATTCACAGTGTTGTGCAACCATCACCATTGTCCATTTCCAGAATGTTTCCATCATCCCAAAGAGAAAATCTGTACCCATTAAACAGCAACTCCTTATTTCTCCTCCCTGAGCCCCCTATTCTACTTTCTGTCTCTGTGAATTTGCCTAGTTTAGGTATCTCATGCAAAGGGAGAGACGTACATGTTTTTAAGGCTTTTCATACACATTGCCAGGTTTCCCTCAAGAATAATTGTCATTTCGTGATCAAGAGTGCCTATTTCTATGCACTTAAGAAGCTTTTAAAATGTTTTTTAATACTGGGGCGCCTGGGTGGCTCAGTCGGTTAAGCGGCCAACTTCAGCTCAGATCATGATCTCTCGGTCCGTGAGTTCGAGCCCTGCGTCAGGCTCTGGGCTGATGGCTCAGAGCCTGGAGCCTGTTTCCGATTCTGTGTCTCCCTCTCTCTGACCCTCCGCTGTTCATGCTCTGTCTCTCACTGTCTCAAAAATAAATAAAACGTTAAAAAATATTTTAAAAATGTTTTTAATACTTTTTTTTAATACTCTATACACATACACACATAACGCTATGTATATGTATTACATGTATGTAACACCTATTTGATGCAGAAACCTTGGAAAAGTGCAAGAAAAAAATTAAGTGTAAAATTAAGGTGGTGTAAGTCCACCACCTAGAGATGGCCATGTTAGTATATTTCTTTTCAGACACAACAATCTGGTTTCAAATTAGTGCTACCATAGTGAGACCTCTTCCTCACAAATTTCTATGAAACTGGGTTTTAAGAATCATCTATCATTATTGCTGTATCACAAGTAATTAACCAGTGTATCTGACATTGTAACCAACTTTTCAAAAGTGGAATAACAATTGCCGTGTTTTATACAATCTAAGATTCCATAAATTACACTGTTATTTTATGGAAAGTGCTGCCAATTAAACTATGACATGCATTGATTGCAAGATACATACTTATTTTCAGAGATGCTAAAAATGTGAAGCAAAATGTGCACTTTAGGATCAATGAATCATCCACACGATACAGTTTCAAAGGGCTTTGTTGAATTCTGTCCCACTTTAAGTACAACAACCCGGGAGTGTGGCATTAATCCCATTTAAAAGATCAAGAATCTGAGAATCATGTGACTTTCTCCATTAGTAAATGGCTAGTGCCGTGTGCTCCTTCTCTGCACCACAGTCGCGTATCCACATAAATGTCAGTAGCTCCAGTAAGAAGCTAGGAATTGAGTCAACGGACAGTTATAGGTAAAGAGGAGAAGAGATAGAGGAAGACAGAAGAAGTGAAAGAATCTGGGGAAAGAGAGCAGTCCTTGACTTCACTTAGTTTTAGGTCTCCTACATCCTGAACTCGGGAAAAGGCAGAGAACCAGGACATGGTCATCTTCCATCTTTGCTTCTTTGAACTATTCTTCCTGCTGTCACTTTCTCCTAGTGTGTGTAATTTAAATGTTACCTAAATCAGGAGAAGGGACCACAGGTGGCCCTGGAGCCCATGTGTCTCTCAGATAAACTGACCTCTCTTACCCTGGTTAAAAATGCTTCGCCCAAGTTCCTTCACCTCGTTTTGCATCCTACTGGGAGGTCGGTCATTGGTGCTCCCATCCAGCTTTCATTTGAACATCTGCTGGTAAGCTTGCCCTGTGAAATCATATTCCTTTTCATCCAAAGACGCAGATTTTGAGCAGCCTTCAGTGGAACACGTACTTTGAGTTATTTCTTCAGGAGTGGGGATGTGAATGTCTTGAGACAGTTAACGCTTTTCCAGCCAGGCATCCTTGTATGCATCTTACCTTCGTGAAACAGCTGGCTAAGGTCAGGATATCTTGTAAGGCCATGAACTGACCAAGGCTAAGAGATCCATTTTATAATCACACCTATGATCTTACTTTGTTTGCACCACAGTTGGGTCGGGCCAGCCAAGCAGCCACACAGGCTGGGAAATTTTGATTGGCAAAACTAAGCAGGTTTGCTTCAACCGTGGAATGACACCACCCACCATGGTCCCAGTGTGGGACGCCGAAGGTAAATGAGTCCATTGCGGTGTGCCTTCATCATACCTGCTCCCCCTCTTTCAAGGAATATTCTAAATTCCGTTTCAAATTGTTGGTTTTTTTAAGAGCAAAGATTCAGGCACAGATATAAAATGTCAACTTTTTTCTGTTGTCAAAAGGGGAATCATAGTTTTAAAAGTACAAAAACGAAAGGGCAGATGCCACTTATTAAGTTATGAGGTTTTTTGTTTTGATTTGAAAGAGTTTGACATTTTAAGCAGCCATTTCTTTTCCACTCACTTTTATTGGCTTGTATGGATTGTCTCTTTCAAATGCCTGTCATTGACATTAAGCACAAAGTGGGAAATGACCTCCATCGAACCAGCCCCCGGCTGTGTGCTCCCAGTCCCATGTCCTCTTACCATTTGCTTCACACAGGCTTAAAAACTCAGAGCAGAGGGGAGCCATTGAGAAAGTTGGCTTTGGGGGCCCCCTGATTTCCACCGACGTGTTCTCTCCACCCCTGCCTCACCAGTAGTCAGGTTTTCCGTAACAGGTACCAAGTTGGTTCTGAGAACCTTCTTAACACCTTTATTGCAGTGCAATTGATATACCATACGACTCACCCACCTTAAATATACACTTCAGTGATGGTTAGTAAATTGTGGAGTTGTGCACCCAGCACCACAACAGTTTTGGAATATTGTCACCCTCAACGGATCCCTTGTGCTCACCCCAGCCCCACTAAACGTGCTTTCGGTCTCTTTCTGAGAATTTTATTCTGAGACACAAACCTTATGTTAGATAGGTTTTTTTGTTGTTGTTGTTTTTAAGGAACATTTGTTCATTGTATCATCTCATTTGTAGGCACATTGTGTTTCTACCCAAGAACTTGTCACACTTGCCAGGAAACGGATCTGAAGCCAGCTCTGCCACTGCCTTTCAGCCTGACCTTGGACACGAACACCTCTCGTGGGATGTTTTCGAAGTCTAAATCCCACCTACAAAGGCAGTTTTTAGAAGCAGAAATGATAAGTGTGAAGGAGCAGCCTTGAGAAGGCCAATTTAGAAAGCAATGCTCTTTCCCCCTCAGGTCAGACAGTCTTTTCTGACTGATTAAGGCAAGAGCGACGGTCTTTCCAAATTCCCCCACTCTGCTTCTTTCTGGAAAAAGCCTAACTCTTTAGGCACCCTGCTTTTTTGATCTGAGACAGATGGCAGATTAGAAACAAGAATCTATCTTCCCCCAGTTTCCTCTCACTGGTTAAAAAGACACCTGTAATTAGATTGGATGCCTGCTGCCATTCAATTCTTTAGTTTTTCTTTGGTTCCAAAAATCATTATGCAGCGGGTACTTTCTAGAAGGCAGTGTTTTCAGACCATTTGTCATGTTAGTTGCAGCAATTATATTTACCTGACAATTAACCATTGGTTGTGGAGAATTGCTTCCAAATATTATGCCTGATATATATAGATGGTTTCTACTTTCACCAAGATAAAAAAAAAAAAAACCAGGTACTTGTGTTTTTCGATATTATTCCTTCAAAAATACATCTTCTTAGTGATTACAGAGAGTACATAGTCTTATGTTTTAAAAGAAATCGGCCCTTTAAAATTATAAGAAATAAAAACGTGTACATGAGTCGTCTATTACAGAGGTAAGCTATTTGTTGTAGTATATCTTTATATCAAACACATACCCTTGTGTGTCCTCCCAGTTGAGTGTTAAAAATTATTAGAAAAAACAATCCAGGGTACTAATTGGATATCGTCATCTGTCTGCAATGGATAAAGAATTTCTTTCAACGTAGACTCCAAAATAGGCCAGTAGTTTGTCGACAAATGGTTTTACTGGGAGGGGAAGTAAATTTCCATTGATCACACTGGCATATCTTCCAGTTTGTGTTTATATCGTCTCAGTCAGGTCCTAAGAGAAATATGTATTGTGTCCCTCGTTGTTCATAAGTCTGAAAAATGGTTTCTTCTTTGAAATCAGCATAAAGCACCACCCACTGGCTTCCAAGGGGAATTTTTATTTCAAACTTATTTATAAGCTTCAAAGGAAGTTCTGAGCAAGGTAGCAGGAGGGTATGAGCAGTGTGTTTAAAAGCATGCTTAGCTTATTACACAACCGACTTTGGCTTCTTGGTGGAGAAAAGGAAAACTTAGGGGAGAACACACACAGTGAGCCCCATTCAGTAGGGTTTCTTTGTTGACTGTAAACAAGACACCCAACCCTAGGTGGGAAGTTGGCCTTCATATAAATAATGCGCATTGTCCTGGGATCATTTGATTCTGTTTTCAAAAGGAGCATGTGTGGCAGAATAAACTGGAAGGGAGGCGGCAGTAATTGATCAAGATTTCCAGGAACATAAACAAAATATTTTCAAAGAAACATTTTGCAGAAGAATTGGTGTTAAATCATTGTTGCTAGATGGTATGCCCCGGTTCTATGTAATGGAAGGTTAAACAGATTCTTGAAACAACAAAAGCACCCTTCAGAATGATCTATTTTTCCAGGGCAGTACAAAAGGGGTTTGCCCATTTTTGTTTTGATTGCTTCAGCTTTAAACAGGAATGGTAATTTCAGTACACGGGCACTTCAGTACCTCGCATGAAAGCAAGACATCAATTGTTGAGATGTAATCAGAAAGTACATTGCCTTATGTTTTATTTCCTTTAATCATTCTTCTTCTTTGATGGAGTGCTGGGCTTTCTAATAGAAAAGGGGAGTTTTAGAATTGTAGGCTTAGAAGAATGGTTTAGAATAGCCATCTTTAGTTTTTAAATTGCCAGGAACCTGATAATAACATGTCATTTTGAAGGTAATTGTTAACTACACCGTTATATTGATATAAAAAAAATGGAGATCTACCTGTGAAAATAGATGTTAATAGCAAATCTGGTATTTCCAAGCCAATAATTGGACATATTTTTGAATGATATACCTTGTAATGCATTGCTGAAATACAGACATGCTAAACAGTTGGTTTCCTCATTTGTTAGAGAACATATCATAGTCTCATTGGTAGGATATTCAGGTAGCAATCGTCAGGAGGTTTATTTTCGATGATGTTGTGTGACTGTCATTCAAGTTCTCATTCACTTCCTCCTGACTCATTTAAATTGTAATGTTGATCACACTGCAATTAAGTGTTTTTTGGGAAATGAAATTCAGTCCTATTAATCTTATTTAATTAACTATTCTAAATCTTAAGAATTTTGTTACTGATGAATAAAGTTATTAATAAAATTAATAAGAAAGTAGTGATCCTCGAGACATCTCACAGTTCTGCAATGAAAGACCAATTTGTTGGGGCATAAGCTCATAGCTGTTCCTTCAGATCATATGTTGAAAAAGCCAGAAATCACCTTGGGAGGGAGAGTCAAAATACCTAGACTTGAAATCCGAAGGCTATATGATGTATGGGATTTGTTTCCTGGAAGGACCCTTCCAAGTACATGTTTGGTGCTATGGTATTGTGTATGTGTTACCCTCTTACTTATTTTTGCCAGCAACGTTCCTATTTCTGAGTGATCAGCAGCTTCTATTGTAGGACTGTGGGACCAAAAGTCAGAAGAAAACTGAGGAAGATGTTTCAGGAAATGTTTAGGGAGAGTAACAAGCAATCCAAGGAGATAGATAGCAGGGGTCATGGGAGAAAAAATAAGACTGTACAGGATTACTGCATTCATTCATTTGCCGTCAGTTACTTCAGTGTGACACGTTGGCATGCCTTCTCACAACATGGATGTTTTACCTGCCCGGGCTCATTCTGGGCAGACTTGAGCACAGCAGTACTTGTTCCTTGAATTTTCTGCCCGGGCTCAGCAGGTTTGCAAAATCATTGGGATTTGGACAAGGAGACTACAAGAGACTCAAAACCTATTTTCAACATTTGCTGAGCTCCTCTAATGATTTGGCCATGGGGATTGGCACTAAAATGCAGAAAAGAGTCAGACAGAGGGTCTGCCTTCATGGAGCCCAGGCTCTAGTGGGAAAGATAGAGAAGTGATGAAAACTGTATCATACAAGTTAGTGGGTATAATAACGGAGCTATGGAAAACAAACCATGGGCACAAGGAAGAGGGAGTAACTAATTCTGCCTGGACAGAGCATCGGAGAGAATTGAGCTGAGCTTTGAAGGATAGATAAGAGTTCCCCAAGCAGACAAGAGGAGGAGGGCTTTCAAGATGGAGAGGGAATAGCATGTACCAGTGTAGACAGGAATGGAAGTATGTGAAAGTAATTATAAATAGTTCACTATCACAGGAACTCAAGATCCCAAATGAGAGGATGGTGACAGGGGAGACTGAAGAAGTAGGCAAGGGTCAAGTCATGAAGACTTTGTATACCTTAATAGAGAATGTACCCCCTATCCTGTAGAGGATACAGAGCTGTTGAAAGATTCTAAGCCACATACTGAAATGATCTCAATGGCAGGAGTGGGGGTGATGGTTTGGAGATAGGTATGCATGGAGGCCAGGAGACCAAGAAGTTAAGAAAAACTGAACTAAAGCCTTAGTGGTAGGAATAGAAATGACAAAACTGGTTCAGCATATTTTGGAGATGGACTCAACGTGGGTTTCGTAATGAGTTAGGTTTAGAGAATGAGGAAAATAAGAGGCCCAGTCATGGCCACACTTCCAACTTGGGTAAATACGCGCACTGTGATACCACTCATAAGAGAGTAGGGAACTCAGGAGGAAAAGCAGGCTTTAGCAGGGGGAGAGGAAGACAGTGAGTTCCATTTTACACTTGTTGAGTTTCAGATGCCTCTGGGCATCTGGGTGAGGAGATCGAGCAGGAAATTGCATGGCAGGTGACAACTCTGGACAGGAGAAAATTTTGGTGTATAGAGATACGAGTTAAAGCCGTGAGATTGGAAGAGATTGCCCAAAGAGAATGCACAGTATTTTCCAGCATTTTCATAAGTCAGTATCTCTATTTCCTGCACTGATGATAGTGAGATATGGTCCAAAAGAGTGGAAAATTCAAGTCCCTTTCTTATATCTTTGAAGTGCATTCTAACAGTATGATTTTTTTTCACAGAAGTCAATTGCCTTCCTGATGGTGTTTTGCTAAGGTTAATATTAAAATTGACTGATATTTCCTTTTCAGGAACCAGTCAGTTGCATAGTGAGGGTAATTTGAAGTCAGACAAGTGTGTGCCAAGCATCAGGAGATAGTCATCCAGAGATGAAAAATTAGCCACAGATGATTCACAGAGCCCAAAATGAACAGGAGATCATTAAAAGTTATTTATCACGGGTTTCATTGAGGCATTTAGGATCAGTACTAAAGGATGTATTAACCCATATCACAGATAGACAAGCTGAGGCAAAGTGTCATGCTCCTGTTTGTTGTGGCCATGCAGTTAAACAAAACCTCGGACAGTGTGCTTCACTCTCAGGATTTTTTCTGCCAGGCCAAAGCGTCATGGTGCTTTGAACAACAAGAGAAAAGTTAAAATGTTGCTGAGAATATTGTGAGGTAATTTTTTATTCTCCTTTTTTTTCTTGGATCTAGGAATCATACATAAAGGGAATGGAGAAAATATGTTCATTTCCCAGCAGCCCCCAGTCATATCAACCATCATGGGTAATGGACACCAGCGGAGCGTAGCCTGCACCAACTGCAATGGCCCAGCTCACAACAACAAGCTCTTTGCTCCTGTTGCCTTAGCTTCTGGCCCTGATGGGAGTGTGTATGTTGGCGACTTTAATTTCATAAGACGAATATTTCCCTCAGGAAACTCCGTTAGTATTTTGGAATTAAGGTAAGTCTCCTCTAATCTCTGTTGGTTTAGCGGATAAGGAAGAAGCAAGAATGCGATAACACGAAGAGAAAGGCATTGCAAGGAAGAGCAGAAAATGCAGTCGCCCATATTGTAGCCCTGACCTCAGATGCAGGAATAGGGACAAAGGACATAGGTCAACAGGCCCACACCTCCTACTTAAAGGACTTTTGAGCACTGCTTTGGAGAACCAGGAAGTGTTGACATCCCTGTATGTGTGGCCTTCCCTGTGGGCATTGCCATCACTGACATGGATCTCAGTACTTCCAAGTGCTGAGGTAAGCCACTCAGCCCCTGCTGGTCAAAACGAAGACTGATCAAAAGTATCTATTCCACAGGTAGAGGTAATGCCAGATCCAAAAGGCTCAATTTTCTAAGTTCTCCAGGTTCAATTTTTTGAAGTGGTCACTTCATAAAAAAGAAAATGGAAGTCTGTGTTTGTACGCCCTGATAAGGAAGGAAGAACTAGGTTTTTTGTTGTTTTTTTTTTTTTAATGCTTAAAAGCTCTATTCCTTTGGGGCAAAAAAGATTAAAGCATCCATCGTTAGACTTTCTCACTCTGTTCTAGGAATTTTCTGGAGAGTACAAAGTATTTTGACACCCTTTGAAAGGAATTCATACCTTCTGGTATTCCATGTTCTGAAGTTACGCAAAGATCACAACTAAATAGACTATGGCTTAATCAGCTTATTTCTCCCTTTCTGAGGCTACAAGATACAAATATATACCCTATGGAGTCCTAGAAAAGGAAAGCATCCCCTCCCATTCCAGTGAGGATAGACCTGTTTCCTCCCTCCTGGGTAAATTGATAGAGCCTTCCCTCCAATTGGTTATGACAGCTTTATCCCTGACACATGCCTTTGGAACTTTAGGCCGAAAGTTTCCCTCTATTCCAGAAGATTTTGTTGTCATCCTATAAACTAGTCCATAAAACAGTTGTTGCTTCAGCCATCCCCTCATCGACCTGAAAGATAGTGACCAAAAATAGTGACCTGGGAGAATAGAGACATTAATGGAACAACTTGTATGTACAGAGTACCATCGAGGCCAGTCAAAACATATGAAAAGTCTTGGATCATTTCCATTTAACACTATATTCACACAAGCATAGAAATTTGAATGTATGGGGACATTCCTTGAAATTTTCCAGATTCTCATGCTTGCTCTGGAATCTACCTGCTTTTTCTCAGACTGAGTTAGTCCTTCACACCTACCTGTGGACATCTTCCAGTCCCAAGCCTCCATCCGTTTTTCATATTAATTCATTCTAGTTTTAAAACATTTCTTAATTATAATTGCAAGCATTGTCATGGATAAGAAAGCTGTTAAATCCCTTGACTGATAAAAAATAGACTGTAAAGTTAAGATTTTTATAAAGATAAAGCACATCTAGAGAGACTAGAGAGGTACTAATTCACAGCACCCTGCTCTAATCAAATGTTTATGTACCTTAGGATGTCACACTTCATGGTGACTTATCATTTCCCGCAGTATATCTCTTGGGGCACCTACTTACTGGAAAGTCAACAAGGAAGGCCAAGATGTTCATATTCCTGGATTTAGAAACGATTTATGTAACATTCAACATTATATTCAAAATCCTAGGGATGTTCTGTCTACGTGATGCCAAACATTGACAGAGCACTGAACAATTCATTCACCATCTGAATGTTTCTAGTCATGCAGATATTTGCTGTCAGGTAGACAGAGACTTTGTCTTATGGAACCTATCTATATAGCTAACCCTATAAAGCCTCTAGGCTTTATAAAGCCTCATGGCTAGCCCTATGTAGGTAACTCCTCTAAGGAAAAACCATAAGATTAGCTATAAAAACAAATACTAATACTAATAATACTACTATTAAGAACACCCAGCTAAGTTGAGTATTTTCCTTTGTGATTTCAATGCAAATGTACCTAACTAAGGTGCAGCAATTTTCATCGATGAGATTCTCCTTTGCTCAAGAATCCCTGACAGTTAACAGATTTGCATTTTAGTCCAAAGTACTTTATGACCTTCAACACAAAGTCATTTGAAGGATAAAATAGAAAAACTTGGACCCTAACTGCAAAGCAATATTCTCAGTATAAAGAACAATTCGTTTCTGGCAGTGGGAAGTATTGTCCAATCCCTCCATTCATTCTGACTCCACAGTACTGTTCTCTCACATTGTCAAAGCTCTTCAAACACATAGGCGTGCACACACCGTGAGCTCACACACCCAGGCTCTCTCACTTAGCCTGAGTCTCTCTAGCTAGCTCTTCCGAGCTCACATCCTTTACAGCAATTCTTCTTAC